GCTTCCGGCCAACCCTGTTCGCGTGGGCAATGAGTTCGTCAAGCCTGCGTCCGCAGTTGGCAACCTGGGCATTCTGCTGGACTCGGAACTTTCAATGAACAGTGACATTGCCAAAATCACCACCGCTTGCTATGGCGCTCTGCGACGAATACGTAGCAACAGCCGTTGTCTTTTGAGGTCAGTCCTTGAGGCCTTTTTGGTAGCACTTGTTCTGACCATATTAATTGGACTATGCATGCATGGTAATGCCCCACTCTATGGACTTCCGACCACGGCACTTAGTATACTGTAATTCATATTGAACGCTGCTGCTCGAATCGCATGCAATCAGCGAAAATTCGACCATTTGACGCCGATATTGCGCGATCTTTACAGGCTGCTCATTCAGCAGTACACGCAGTACATTGTCGCTGTTTTGACGTTCCGATGCCTCCACGGTTTGGCGCCTCCTTCTCACGGAAGGTCTGCAGCGTGTATCGGATCTGCCTTCTAGACGACGATTGCGCTCGTCATCAACAGCGGCCCTCGCCGTACCATCTACAGGTCTATCTACCGTTGGCGACAGAGCGTTCCCGGTCGCCGCCGCTAGAACCTGGAACAGTCTGCCGGCTTCCGTAACTTCGGCTCCTTCGTTGCAGGTGAGGTTTCAGTATCTTCCATGTGAATTTTAATTTATTAATTGATTATACATGTGTTCTGGGATTTTGATTTTGGGATTTTGATTTTTTTTGTGTTGTTTGCTTTTAAATTTTGACTAGTTTTATTCATCAACATTCCGTGAAGCAACATTCCGAGTGCGCCTTCTTCCTTGTATGAGGCCCGCAATTAATCGCACGTAACGAAAAATCATGAAGTATTGAGAATTCAAACTTGACTACCAGCCTCGCTGTATAAAACATTTGAACGTGTCTATCCATAACTTTATTTTTAAATAAAGCTTATTTCGAAGTAAATCACTTTGGAGTCTCATGAGCTCATTCCACCTCGATAAATGGATAAGGAACTAAAAAATGTTGAAATTCTGCAAAGATTCAATCATCGCCGTTTATTTCACGTCTTACTATTTATCGTGAATAGTCGAAATCATGGTTGTATTGTAATATCATTGTAATTATGTGCGCAATTATTATTTTGCTCCTCGTTCGTTTATGATATCTTTATTTAGAGCCAGAACTTAGTGAACCTGTCGTCGTTGCACGAGTGTATGCTTAAGCCACGTACATGGTTTATTAATGTTTGCTCAGGCACATGTACTTGGTAAAGATCACTTTTTAATGTTTGAGACTTGCCAAAAGCAGGGATTTTAAGACACTGTATATTAATTGAAAATCTCACAAACGTCTTTCAGCCTCAAAGACAGAGCGGTAATAACCTTAAATCAAAGACACTGCTTGTAGTTATCATTAAGCAAAATGCATATAATATTTAACATTATATAACGTCAGCAATGGAGTTGCGCAAGAGAATTATTTTGAAGGACTAAAATATCAATGAGGTGAAAGCAATACAATATTTATTTTGTTACACCACCGCTGCACCTTTAAAGCAGACATTGACGCTATATAGTTTCCGATGTGCAACATCGAGACTTAATAGAACAGCAAAAGATACTGACATTTACACTGAAATTTATAATGTGACTTCCTTCTAACGTTGTGTGCTGACAAGTTCGCTTCCACTCGATACTTCGTATTTGTAGAAAAAAATATTAAAAATATTCTACAGGTCAGCACACCACAAAATTCTGGAATTTTTCAGGGTCTGACATTATCAAATTATGTTCATGTTTGTCATTATAATCGCCCACTGCAGGTATGATGGTGATCGACAGCCTTCAGTTTTCGGGGATATTAAAAAATCTTTTACAATCACGTATAAATAACTAAGAAACGTGGTTAAAATGTCCAACAAGGCCGGCAACTTAATTCAGAGAGTCATTATATACAATTAATGAGCGTTATATTTCTTTAATTCCATTTAAAACCAAATTTAGGGGAGGAATACATAATGCACGAAGTGAAGAGTTGCGGTATACAATTTGCATGGCAAGTTTCACGCTTCATCAATTCGTTATATAATCTTAATTTGCTAAACTAGGATCTATGCTATAATTACTGCCAATATATTTCGTGCCAGAAAAAAAAAAACAATAATATTTTACTTTTTTCTGCTATTACAATGCAAAAAATTGTCTGCTCAATAAGAGAATAAAAAATAATTTGCATGCTTCTGTGAGCAGCACTAAAGAATTTTTAGGTCAGAATTCACGTTTTATTGCGGCCGTAGGAGAAATAAACTTTATACTACACATGTTTTATACGACGTAAAAACAAAACATTTTTTCCCGCCAACAGATTCAAGAACGTGGACAAAAACGTTTCATAAAACACACGATCATTAATTCTATTTTAATGGTAACAATAAATTGTCTCAACCAACCACTGTTGACCTACTAGACTCCGAGACCCTTGCAGCTCTACCCCTTCCCCCCCCCCCCCCACAAATGAAGTTTAGCACTTTTTAAATGTTGAAAATAGTCAAGAAAATATTGCATGTAATTTTAAAGCTTTTTCTGTCTCTATTAATTTACCTAAAATTTTATCCCATGACATCATCACATCATCATAACAGTTTCAGGCTATAGTGTTCGCATCGGGTTATACAGATCGTGTTTTTCGTCACATCCAATTTGGGTGCAATTCTACATACAAACCGAGGCTCACATATTCGAAGCACTTCTTCCCGCATAATTGCTCGGTCGTTACAACATTCAGAAGCTCAATCGCAGTGATTCTCAAACTCTGAAAACGCACTTATTTTCATCAGCGAAACGAAGATAATTTTACATAATAATTCTGGCATGGGTAGCAAAATTGAATTACTCCAAATGCCTATAAAAATTTAGCATATATGTAATTAATTATTGATTTGAATGTGCATTTTAATCAGAAAGAGCCTTTGAATATTTGCTTCAATTAATGAATTGATCAATTATTAAGCAACCTATTTCATCTCAAATTTGATTTTTAGCTGGTCGGCGAAAGCCTACGATCGAACGATTAATTATGATCCTCAACGATGTTAATTTTTGTTTGATTGCGCTATATGCCGGTAATTTCCGGTTGAGTGCATAGACAGCTCAAAACACGACAGCTGAGTAGGCAGAGCTTGGCAACGCTACTTTGAAATGTAGCGGCCGCCACCGCTATCGCTACATGCTCTAAATGTAACGGGCGCTACCGCTACCGCTACACCCACTAGATTGTAGTGAGCGCTACCGCTACCGCTACATCTAGCGCGCTACTGCCCACCTCTGCATGTTGACGCTAGTAACAGGCTGAGGTTGATAACATTACACCGAAATCTTTCGTAAAGTTTTAGTCTGTAATTTATATTATGTATGTATCATACCAGTACTGGTTTTTAAATAATATTTAATACTATTAGATAAAATCTAAAGGCTTTATCTATAAATGTAGCGGTAGCGCTGTAGCGGCAAAACCTCTTATCGCTACTTAAATATGTAGCGGCCGCTACCGCTACATTGCTTAAATGTAGCGCCGCTACCGCTACTGAAAATGTAGCGGCCGCTACATGTAGCGCGCTACTGCATGCCCACCTCTGCGAGTAGGCAATATTACACCCGGGCTCCGAAGAGTCCTTTAATGACTTATCAAACGTAAGTATGCAACGAAATCACGAATTTTGCTCTATAACAACATATAGACACGAATGTGCGTAAGAGTTGCCTTTTGTGTATTGGCGCAAATTACGGGATGGCCCAGCTGGTGTTCCATGCTCATTTTTGTATGTGGTTTACGATACGTATCGAAGTTTCGCTTTCAATGTTTCATTGAAAGCATTAAAAACTATCTTGAAGGCAAAACCATAACAGCGAATCACGAGCTGGGCTGTAATGACCTTTAAATTCTTCCCTTGGCCAGTCCCTTTACGCCATGGCGTGACGAATTCGTCACACAAGGGACTAGCTACCTTTTCCAACAATTCCACGTTTTCTGTCATTTTTTCGAAAAATTCACATGAATAAAAAAATCTTGGATTTATTTTTTACATATGCGTACCAAGTTTCAAAGTTATCTGTCAGTAAATAACCGAAATATAATTTCCAATTTCTAATGGCAATGTCCAATTTCTTATGGAAATTCTATTTCGGTTATTTACTAACAGATAACTTTGAAACTTGGTACACATATGTAAAAGATAAATCTAAGACTTTTTTGTTCGTAGGAATTTTTCGAAAAAAGTAAAAGAAAACGTGAAATTCTTAGAAAACCGCCAAAAAGGGGTACTGTAGAAATCTATCTCCTCCTATGATTTTCAAGCTACAACATCGAGACGCATATCATTCGGTGCGTAAGGACCATATGGATCTATCGATTGGTCCTTGCTATTTTTCGAAATTCTAATTTTTGTGGGTGGGGTGGGCATTTTTCGAAAAAAAAATTATTTCTCCCCTCACCCTTTCGAATTTCCCCTCCCCTTTTTTCAAAATATTTTAAAAACTTTAACGAAATTGAAAAAAAGCTTCTACCAATCTCTAGATCTTTTATTTGCAAATCGAACGGTTTATTACTCATTGCTGTAGCTTGAAAACTCTGGGGGGAAATAGGTTTGCAGTGACAATAAGTGTGAATGTTCAGTAGAGCGCGACAAAGTCCCGAGCGCCTCGAAATAGGCATTCAAGGTGACATGGATGCAAGACTAGACATTACTGGAGCCGAAATTCAGTCAAGGATAGTGGGAACGACTGCATGAGCACCATCCCACACGACAGCAGCCGGGTAACTAAAGATCAGCGTCTTCAGGTTGCATATTTATGTGCCCAACCAGTAATTTTCGCCTATATTAAATGTGAAAGAACTCCCCCACCCCTAATACTTTCACGAACTGTCGTCAAGGCATAAATCAACGTACAGAGATGATTTTGGTACCATTGGATAGGTCAGAATGTCAGCTTCGAAGTGAGACTTAAAACCGAAAAAGTGAATTTTACAATTTTTGTCCCAGAAATTCAGGGCGTAAAGGGTTAAATCTTGATCTGGAGCCGAGCATATTGGGGGAAATTAGCTACGACTCATGATGTCCATAGCCTCTGTTGTGGTTGGTAATTAGTGAGCCATTGAAGATAAACTCCATCCACTCCTGACTTTTGAAAGGGTCGAGACCCACAGCTTGAGAAACACTGTCCTCTTGGGTTTGAGGTACACTATACTGTTTCTGCTTCCAACAAAGGAAGCCCACCCACACAACAAGCAAAAATGGGTCATTCAATCTAATAAGTCATGTATATCTAGGATTTCAGCCTATAGCAAGCCTCGTTCGACAGACAGAGACAACCATATCGTCCAAAAATTGAGAGCCTAGCTATACCAAAGCACAAGTAGGAAAGGGTAACGTTTATCTCTCCTTGCGATGGTCGCCGCCATCTTCATCGCCGTCGTGGGCGGGTGGGGAGCGAATGTTGTGCGACTCTTCGTAGAAGTCTGGCTCGTCGCCGTCCGTTGGCGGCAGAGCAGCGCCGTCCAGCTGGAACCACAGTCCTCAGTAACTCATTGGGGCAAGCTCGGTACACATTATCCACAAATTTTATGATATGGTATGGTTAGTCAAAAGTTGTTCCTATGTGCAATTTGATTGAAGACCATGGAATACTTTTATTGGTAATTTTCTTGTATGTTGTCTTTATGAGTCAAAAGAAGTTTTTTTACTGGGGGCTGGCAGATCAAAAAGCAGGGTGCCAGATGACATTCGAATACGAGCTTTTTAAGTATTCAATTTAATTTTAAAGTTCTTTAAGGGTTTACAACTCTTAAATTTGAAATTTTGAAGTGACTTATGTACAAAGAATTAGGATGGTGGAGACAGATCGAAGATTAAACTTATATTTACTCGGAAAATAATTTCACCGTCCTGAAGAATCCGGTGATTTGTAGGTTGATAGCTGGAGACCCATTCCCAGTTTAGTCATGTGTTCTTCATCCCTAATGACGACAAAACTAAAATCATGAACTAAATTGGTTTGACCTCAACGACCTCAAACCGCCTCTTCACATGCCACCAGCAATCAAGAGGGCCAAGCGAGGCTCACAGCGAGATCCTTCACTGGCGCGACAATGTAGCCTGCAACTGCCTTATGGTGCGGTGTCCCGACGCTTCAAGACTAGCGATGACTGAAGGCTACTTTATCAAGAACAGCGTTGTCAACTCTTTCAATGACCTCCAAGCTAAAACCAAGCATTTCTAACTTAAATACGCTAAATATTATAATTCTTTAGTTAAAAATGCCTTTACCTATATATTTTTTCGCACTAAAGCTCTTTTTTTTTGTCAGAATGCGTTAAAAGTACGCTAGATTTAGCGGCAAAATAAATGAATTTACAACCCTGATCAAGAATGGGTCTGCAGCTATCAACCTATAAAAAACCACCGGATTCTTTGGGACGTTGAAATTATGAGTATTTTTAAGTGTTAATTTTTTATTTGTATGCACTATAGTCCATCGTTTGTACTTACGGCACTTCGAAATTTCATACTTAAATATTGAAAAAAATTTCAATTATTTGAAAATGAATACTGTACTAGTGTACTATATTCGAAATGCCTATTATTCTAAAATGTCATGCTTTTCGATCTACCAACGCCAGCAAGTAATTCCATGTGACTAATCGAGAAAACAAACAAGAAAATTATCACTAAAAATGTGCTCTGGTCTTCAATCAAACTTGAATAAATTTTATGATGTAAATAATTTACAGAGTATCGTATAAATTAATTACCCTTGCCTGGTGTAAAATTTAATTTTTAACCAATTTTTTTATTTGTGTCTACGTTTCCATATAATATATAGGTAGCATTAATTCCCACATAATAGTAAACCACGCTGGAAATAGAATACATTATTAAAATTTTCGTAAGTTGTTTGGAAAATAAAACCGTTATATTCGGAAGCAATTGTTAAACAAATTACGCATATAAACTGAAACGTGCGCAATCACTGCGATTAGTTCACTGAACGTCGATATCTTGTTGAAACTGTCGGCATAATGTAAATCAAAATGCAGTGCATCATCCATAATGTGGACTAGAAACTGAGAGCGCTATACTATGAACATTTACTGCCAATTAAGCCATAATTTTAAATACCCACCCCGCAGAGCTCCCTGGGAGAGAAGAATCGTGGAAGGACGAAAAATCTGATTGGGATGAGGCAGAGGAGAATGAATGGGAAGCAGAGAGAGATCTTGGACTGCTTCACCACCCACAGCACCACTAACATAAGGATCTGCACCACCGTGTATAAGTGCATTTTCCACGTGCGCACCTGGAATTAAGAAAAAGAAGAATATATGCATCTGTAAAATACATTAAAATATTGCTGTCTATAACTTAAATTAATATAAGTCACGACAAATAGCATGAATTGTTTTTTGCTACTTTTCCGCGCTTGATGAAGGTATATTCATCTCAAAACTACAACGGAAAACTGATGAGTTTTTGATAAATTTTCCTGAGAAGCCTTAAACTTACGTATGCATGAAGTGGTCAAACTACCTATGTTTAAGGATGATTTTGGGATACTATCGATCAGCCGTAATAAAAACTCCTGAGCACATTGGCGAAGTTTTTTTCCAGTTTCATACCTTTGCGAAAACTTCCACACCCGAACTACTCGAACACACAGCTCAGCATGCAGACACTTGCCTCTTTCACGTAAGGCGTATTGTAGTGATATTTGACAGGTACAAGGAAGAGTACAATGCGCTCAAGGAACTGTATTCCGGCGGTGGCTGAGATGCCCATGTAAAGGAAGACGCCGTACAGCACCGCGTTGGGGATGAGGTTCAGGAGGTCCGACAGTAAGATGGATAGGCCGACCAGCGCTGCTACGAGAAGAGCGCTAACTCGCTGTTCTGTAGAATTGAATAGAATTAGAATTGCAAGAATTACAAGCGTGATAAGCAGTCTGGTTGAGGTAGCATAGCACAAATGTTTCCCACCAGTACCAATTTTCATTTTACTCTAATGTACATACTTGAACCTATGATAATGATCTCGCTGATTGTATACAACAGTATACCTACAAATTTATGCAATTATTAAATGTGTGTGGAATAATTATACTGTTAACGGGGTCATTTGGGTATAGAGAAAAGTTAAAATTTTGTATACAAATGAAAATGAGTAAAAAATTATGTTCTCATGAATTTTCTTAAACACATTGAAGAAAACGTGAAATAAATAAAAAAAACTGATAAAGGGGGACCTTTAGATTCAATTTACGTGCACATTGAGAAATATCCTTCGATTCGTAATACAATTATTAAGCGACGCTAGAAGCATCTTTTCTTCATTTTTAGAGGACATTTTCATTTTGCTTCCCCTCCTCCTATTTTTTTCATGGCATAATTCAAACAATCAATAAATCAGAAAAAAATGCTTCTACAGCCGCTAGACATTTGCTTCATTAATCGGACGGCATAATTCTCAATGCTGCAGCTTGATAATCATAGAAGGAGAATTATATGAGGTGAAAAATTTACTTTAAATGAGGCGAAAAATGACCATTTCAATGGTTCAGGAGAGCCAAATAATTGAAATGTATTAAAAAAGAAACAGCTTGATAATTTTTCTTAATGAAATCTCTGTAAAAATCAGTAAACAATGTTCATTTTGTATAAATCTGGAACTGCCAAGCAAAAACCAAAGCACACACATAAATAATTTTTGCTGCGTTAGATGCAACTTTGTCCCAGCTGCGAAATGAGCTCAAAATTAGTTCAATTAATGCGGATAATAATCTATAAAAAACATTGTCCAAATAAATCTTTGTAAATTTGATTTAAAAATGTAAATTGTAAGTACATTTGAAACTGCCCCACGCTAAAACTAAAGCCGCGCATACAGTGGAGAAAATGAGTATTTAGTCAGTCACCAATTGTGCAGGTTCTCCCACTTAAAATGATGAGAGAAGCCTGCAATTGACATCTTAGGTAGACCTCAACTATGAGAGACAACATGTGAAAAAATTGAGAAAATCATTTTGTCGGACTTTTAAAGATGTTATTTGCAAATGACGGTGGAAAATAAGTATTTGGTCACCTACAAACAATCAAGATTTCAGGCTGTCACAGACCTGTAACTTCTTTTTTTAAGAGACTTCACCTTCCCCCACTCATTACCTGTATTAATGGAACCGTTTGAAGTCGTTAACAGCATTAAAGACACCTGCCCACAACCTCTAACAGTCACACTCGAAACTTCATTATTATTGAAAATTGTAGACCTGCACAAGGCTCGGAAGACAGAATCTACAAGAGGCAAGCAGCTTGGTGTGAAGAAATCTACTGTGGGAGCAATAATCAGAAAATGGAAGACCTACCAGACCACTACTAATCTCCCTCGATCTGGGTCTCCACGCGAGATCTCAGACCGTGGGGTCAAATGATCACATTAAGGGCGGCGAGGACAAATCTCAGAACCTAGGACCAACGTTACAAAGGCTACCATCAGCAACACACTACGGTGCCAGGGGCTGAGATCTTGCAGTGCCAGATGTGTCCCCCTGCAGCTTAAGCCAGTCCATATACAGGCACGTGTAAAGTTTGCTATAGAGCATTTGGATGTCCCAGAAGAGTATTGGGAGACTGTCATTTGGTCAGATGGAATCAAAGTAGGACTATTTGGTAAAAACACAACTCGTCGTGTTTGAAGGGAATTGAGTGCCGAGTTTCATACGAAGAACATCATACTAAATGTGAAGCATGGGGGTGGCAAAATCATGCTTTGGGGCTGTTTTTCTACAAAGGGACCAGGACGGCTGGCCCGTGTACATGAAAGAATAAATGGGGCCATGTATCGTGAGATTTTGGCTGCAAACCTCCTTCTATCAGCAAGGGCGATGGAGATGAAACGTGGCTGGGTCTTTCAGCATGACAATGATCCCAAGCACACTGCCAAGGCAACAAAGAAGTGGCTTCTCAAGAACCATTTCTAAATCTTGCATGGAGTGACTTAGCCAGTTTCCCGATCTCAACTTCATTGAAAACCTTTGGAGGGAGTTGAAAGTCCGTATTGCTCGCCGACATCCCCAAAACATCACTGCTCTAGAAGAGATCTGCATGGAGGAATGGGCCAACAGGCCACCAACAGTGTTACCGACCTTGCAAAGACTTACAGAATACGTTTGACCTCTGATATTGCCAACAAAGGATATACGATAAGTTTTGAGATGCACTGTTTCTATTGTTCAAATACTTATTTTCCACAATCATTTGCAAATAACATCTTTAATAGTCCCGACAAAATGATTTTCGAAATTTTTTCACATTTTGTCTCTCATAGTTGTGGGTCTACCTATGATGTCAATTGCAGGCCTCTCTCATCATTTTAAGTGGGAGAACCTGCACAATTGGAGACTGACTAAATACTTATATTCCCCACTGTACATGCGGTTTGCTGCGTCAGACGCACCTTTTACGCACTAACAAAAGCAGCTCGATTTTTTTATGCCAGCCGACCCCCTCATTCATAAAATAATGAAATGGTATTGGATCTTAAGGTTTTTTCACAAACTTTAAAACATATGCAATCAAATCCCATACTTATCATAACAACATGCAAATTTTGGCAATTAAACAATAAGATTTCGGTGAGCTTGTGATTAAAGAGCACCTCCGTCATGCATATTGAAGTATACATCCACCAGTGTGGGGGGCACCAAGTGCCAGTTTCTCCCTATACTTCAACTATAACATTTTCAATTCCGCCTATGCAATTTCATCTGAAATGAAAATATTTAAAGCCACGCCTCGCAGACTCAACTGTTGAGATAGATAACTGAAATGCATTCCTAACTTCTTCCTTGTAATTTTTAGGTCGCATTGATGGTTAGATATGTTGTTTGGGAATATTTTGCTTTGGAATCAAGCTATCACTTGTTCACGATGAATCAAAGACATATTAGCCACTGCTAGTCTCATGAAGTCAGTCTTTTCTTGGCCTTGGAAAAGTTGTCAGTTGATGCCATTCTGGCCGGCCCAGCTGCTTTTTATTGCCCGTAAACTCTTTACAAACTGAATGAAATTTCGTGCACGTAGTCCGACATTAGATTACGTGTTAGTTCACTGAATAAACCAAACAGGTTGTACTTGATTGAAAGGAATATATTTAAATTTCAAGAAAAGGTTGATATCTGGCTCTAATATATCTTACATAAAATAAAATATGAAAGATTAAATAATTGGGACAGGACGTGCTCCGTCGCAGTATCCTCACTCTCTCCTTTGAATATATGAATTAATTTCCATGTATTTGGTTCCGCATTTTCATTAAACCAAATGTATTCCCGAAGTTTGTTTTGAAAACAATCTTTGTAATGGACGCGTCGTAAAATAAATAATGTAGGTAGATTTTTGAAAGAATATTTAATCTTATATATATATATATGCTGATTACCATCTCGTATTTATAAAAAATTTATTTATTTCAATCATTCAACGTTGCGAAAGGCTACTGTGTTAAACTTCGTGAATCAGTGAGCCCGAAAGCCTTCTTCTTGTATGCTAGTTTGAAGTGCAAGACAAGGAACGGTATCGATGATTTGAATGTAAATCGACGGAAGATATCTTCTGAGGAGGGCAACGCCAATGTTCCAAATCAGTTCTTTAGCAGCGTCTTCACAGATGAGGACTTGAACAGTATTTCAGCTATTGAGGAGCGACCAGTGGGCTCAAAGTTAAGTAGTTTTGAGATACATGAAGAGGAGGTTCTAAAGCGCTTGGTCTCCCTGAATCCCAACAAGTCATCTAGATCAGACGGTTCCCAGAATAGATTACTCAACGAATTAGCAACCGTCCTGGCCGGCCCTTTAACAGTATTCTTTCGAAAAACCTTAATCGAAGGGACTTTGCCGGCCGACTGGAAAGAAGCCCAATTAAGTGACACCCCTGTTCAAAAAAGGTGACAGAAGTAACCCCAGTAACTACCGTCCTGTAAGTCTCACAAGTGTTGTGTGTAAGTTGATGGAATCGGTTATGAGGGATAGGATTATCGATCACTTGACTGTGAACCATCTTCTATCAGACTGTCAACACCTGTCTACCTTAAATAATTGGACTCGCCTGCTGGACGAAAGGGAGCCAGTGGCTGCACTGTTCTGTCAGGTGACGATGTTGATACCATTCGTCGCTGGATATTTCCTGATTGATTATCAAATATTGCCTGATTTAATGATTGTATTTATTGAGACTTGGAAAACGTTAGCTGAGGCTTCCGTTTAATAAATAATTCCATGCACACAACAGCTTTTGTATGATTTGTGAAACTCATGAATATCATACCATAAATACATGCCCTAAATAACAATGATTTTTCATGCATAAATACGGCAGACGAAGTATGGCTTAAGTAGACCTTTACTTTCCGTCCTAAACGATTTTTTTATAATAAACAGCCGTCAAGGTATCAAGCATATGAACAATCGCCGTAATTATATAATGTTCTTTTTTTTAACAAATCACGTCACATAGACGTGTTGATATTTTGCAAACCTCAGACGAAGGCCGCAGGAGCTCAACGATGGTTCCGTGTTATGAAGTTCTATCAAGTAGTTCCGCATTGGAAACTTGAGAATTGATGAATCTATTGCGATTCTATTCATACATCGTTAATACTTACTATGCTCTTTTAATAGAATCAAGTTATGTTCTAAAATGCGATGCCGATTAATGGGTGTAAGATACAATGGTAGAGATTTCTATACACAATAATTATACTCTGTAATTCATCTACGCAGTTGTATAAACTATAATAGTAATAAATGGGATAACCTGTTTATGTAATTTATAACGGTAGATTTTTCATCATAAACGGTAGATTGAAGTTACCAGTATCGCCTTCTTTCAATGCCACGAGTAGCTCATGTGCAAAGCAGTCAAGCAGTCAAGCTCGTCAAAAGTGCTAGCTGACGCTTACTAAAGCTCAATGCTACTGAGCTTGTTTTTTTATTGCTTTGCATTCAGTCGATACTTTATCTTATCTAGTTGATATAAATATTTGATGTCAAGCAAGTTTGTAACGCCGCATATTGTAACGCGATGTTTATTGCTATCTAGTTGGTGTAAAATTTGATGTTAATCATGTTTGTAACGCCGCATATTGTAACGCGATTTAATTATAATCTGATATATTTTGCTACTACTTTCACGTGTTAAACTGTGTATATGTAGACAGGCAATATTTTTTTAGCAGAGTCATAACGATTATACTATCGTTATCATATGTGCCTATTTGAATTTCTTAATCGTCGATTCCATGTATTTTTGACCAGTGAAATCCTTATTGTTGGTTATAATCTTTCCTTATGATGTTTACATCTGATAACATATGATTTTCGGGGTGAGCTATATTCAAATGATTCAAAGATTTCGAACTGATGTTTTAAGTATACAAATTAGTTCATGTCAAATTGAGAGACCAATTTCCCGTAGGGAGGAAGGTGCTATTGTGAATCTGAATTTGCTATTTTTTTAAGATCCCTTAGCTAAATGTTTTACTGATTATTAATTCTTGCTTACAGCATGGTTTATCGACATGCTGCCATTTGTATTTTTTTTGCATTTTCAATAACACTCAAATTCAGGAGCGTTAACACTTCCGTTTGATTTGATAAGATCGAGGACGAACTAATAATTTCCCCGTACGGAGGAAGGTGTCAGGTGACAATGTTGATACCATTCGTCCCTGGATATTTCCTGATTGATGTCTTCCTTGTTGAAGATAATATCCTTCACATGCGATATGTTCATGAGCATTTCCTTGCATTAGCCTTTCCTGTTTATCTAGTCACGCCCTTGGTGACGTCAATCAGCGAAGCTATATGAGCTCTGCCCAGACGCGGAAACTTCAGTCTTGGGCCGAGAACAGTCGTGTGTAAGCCCTTACTCCTGTCCGTATCTATCAGGGCAGTGACCCTAAATTAATGTCAGTGTAGAAGATACACTCTAGACTTATCCATACTTCAACTGGACGCCGAAGACTTCAGTGTTAAAGCTCCAACTTATAAACTTAGATTATCCTAAACTGTAAGCCGAACTATAATCCTAAAAGTATATTATATAATCGTTTACGCTGTTTCTCTATATCCTCGGATCCCGCTACTGTCGCTACATACGAACTACCCTCTCAGGTCATACTTAATTACGATTCTATATCGCATCGTCTACTATACCAAATAGTAACGTGTTACAGTACCTCGATTTTGCCAAGGCATTGATAATGTTCCGCATGAGCGACTGTTACGTAAAGTGAATTCTTTGGGAATAGAGGGAAATGTACTCCAATGGATCAGGAATTTCCTAGTAGGCAGAAGACAAAGTATCAGCATTAACGGAACCGTATCAGACTGGGTATCTGTGCGCAGTGGCGTACCGCAAGGAAGTGTTCTTGGGCCTGTTTTGTTTGTCGCTTTTATAAACGATCTACCAGAAGTAGTGTCAAGCGTGTGCTCCATGTATGCCGATGACACAAAAGTTTATAATACAGTTAAGGATGCGTCAAAAAAATTCAACTGCAAAATGATCTTGATAGTTTAGTTGACTGGGCTGATGCGTGGCAGCTGTGTTTCAGTGCTGACAAGCGTAAAGTACTTCACCTCGGCAAGAACAATGAACAGCAAGCTTACAGCATATTGCAACGAGAGGGTTATTATTGAAAAGTCTTGCATGAAAAAAGATCTTGGAGTTTGGGTTGTCAATGAGCTAAAATTTTCTAGGTATATTGAAACACAAGTTAATAAATCCAATAAACTGCTTGGGCTGATCAGACGCTCCGACGAGTACCTAGATATAGAAATGATGAATCTGTTTTTCACTTCCGTCGTGCGCCCGAACCTAGAGTTTGGAAACGTTGTGTGGTCACCGAGACGTGAAAAGGACAGAAATTTAGTCGAGGGTGTTCAAAGACGTGCAACAAGGATAATTGCATGCTTAAAGGGCAAGTCTTATGTAGAAAGATTGAAGAAATTTAAAAGCGAAGAAAACACCACAAAAATTTAGCTTATCTCTATTGGAAACGTTTCGGATACCAGTTCCATTGACAGTTCGATAAATCTAGAACACAGATAAAGGCAGAAAATTAGTTTGGAGTTAACGGTTCATGATACTGTTATTGGTTTGAACCGCAATTATTATAAATCCCTCCTAGAATTATCAGTTCTAAATTCGATTTTCATATTTGCTGGTAAATTTTACAAACAGATTGACGGTATGGGCATGGGTCCTCGGCCCAACCTTTGCGAATATTTTTATGTGTTTTCACGAGGTTTCATGGCTGGCCAATTGTCCTCCTGATTTTAAGCCAATTTTTTATAATAGATACGTCGATGACACCTTTCTTATTTTCAAGCATCCTTCTCATGTAAAACTTTTCTTTGATTACCTAAACTTGCAACATAATTCTATTAAATTTACCATGGAACTTGAAACGAACAATAGTTTGTCCTTTCTGGACTGCAATATTACTAAATCTAATGGCCGTTTTCAAACATCTGTTTACAGAAAATCAACTTTCACCGGCCTAAGCACCAGCTTTTTTTAGTTTTTGTTCTTTTAGATTCAAGTTAAACGGGCTTCAAACACTATTACACCGCGGCTTTCGTATATGCTCATAAAATGCCTCGTATCCTACGGAACAACTGAAATCTAGAAGCGATTTTAAATCTACCGTCCGTTGAAAAGATTTGATCAAAAGGCCAGTCTAGCCAAGAAAAGTACAAGAATCGGCGACAGGCCTATCCAGGCCTATTTTTCAATGCCGCGGATACTATACTATATGAAATTCCACTCTGACGGTAGATCATTACGTAGTTACCACATGTTATATTTGATCTCTCTCTCACCCAGAGCTATTCACGAAAAGTATTCGTAAAATCGAGGAAGCATGCAATTTGAGTTTAAAATAGGAGATTGTAAGAAACTTTCATTACTCACCTAAAGTTCCCGCAATTTTTGGGGACTCTCCAGGAGGCACGTTGGTATCCATGACGGTGAGAGCTGACGCGTGGCTCACTGTGCGCACCACAGCCGGGGTCATAAATGGCGCACCCATGAATCCTGCGCAACAGTCAACATGATATGACACACCACAGCAGTCAACATATGATACACCACAACAGGCAACATATGACACACCACAACAGGCAACATATGACACACCACAGAAGTCAACATATGACACACCACAACAGGCAACATGATATGGCACACCACAACAGGCAACATGATATGACACGCCACAACAAGCAACATGATATGACACACCACAACAGGGCAACATGATATGACGCACCACAACAGGCAACATGATATGACACACCAAAACAGGCAACATGATATGACACACCACAACAGGGCAACATGATATGACACACCACAACAGTCCCTCGCAGAGACTTCCTTCGCAGACGCGGTCGAGAAAGCACGTGTCAGATCTCTCCGAAACTTCCTTTGTCTGGAACTGTTGTCTGAGCTGACGATCGTGTGTGAGTTGAGATAATCGTGGGTGACGGTTATTTTTCTTTGTCGGCCAGTTGTAAATATGTACAGCTTAGGCCCAAGTGATGAAATTCAGTGTTTCGGCGGGAAATCAGGGAAGTCAGTAAAAATAAAAGTATAAATTATCTAGTGTGGAAGTGTTCAGGAAATTACTCTTGAACATATAAATAGGACTCTGTTAGAAAGCGTAACCAGTTTTGAAGAGTGAAATTGTAACATTCACTAAGTGAAGTAGTGAAGCAGAGTGTCGAGTTTTTACAATAAATCAGTGACATAAATAAATGAATAAAGCAGTAATAGGCGAGTGAAGCAGTGAAGCTTCAGGTGTAGCCGCGACGCCTGAGAGCCTACGAAGTTGTTTATGACGTCCTGTCGAGCTTCCAGGATGTTGAGCACAGTGTTGTGTTCAGTGTCATAGCTCAGTGTTTAATACAGTGAACCCAATTGAATAAAATATTCAGTGCAATAGTAAAACAAAACAAAAAACGAGGTAAGATGGCTAAACGTGTTGTAATGCAACCCAATATGCGAAATTTGTGCATAATTTGCCAGGAGCTTTGTAATGCGTCACTTGTACTACGGTGCAGTAAATTCCGGTTATTCATTCATCTGAAATGTAGCGAAATGCAAATTTAATTGCTCGTTGGCTTGATCAAACCAGAGTTTCCTATGAATGTAAGATCTCTGTGTTGAGCATTTGCAAAAACTTCAACGAAAGCGAAAATATACTTATCGCAGCCATGAGGGGTCGACCTGAACTAGAGGCTGGAGAGCCCGCCGATTCCAGCCACACCTCCCCTCGCGCAACTTTCACTTCCCATACAGCCCATGCAGCCAACTTTGCCTCTTCTTCTATACCCTCTTCCCCACTTCTTCCCTCACTCCTAACCTTATACCTACCCAAGCCTTGCAACTGCCCTCAGCCCTTCCAGTGACCCAAAATCTGATCCTACCGCTATTAATTCCACTGATTTAGGCCCAAACACTAGGATTACCTACGCTGCGGCTACCGCACTAATCCCCGAGAATGGCGACTTAAGGCCCGTTTACACTAGGGGCAACACACGAGAGTCAAGTGCCTCAAAGCGCATGCAGAGGCGCTTTGCAGCCTCTGCATGCGCTTCTTGACCGATTGACGAGCTAGCGATTGACAGGGGCCATGCCTCATGCAACACAAGCGCGGCGCTTAGTAGATAGCTATTAAAAAATTGATATCACTTGTATGCTTAAATCGCAAATTAACTAAGAATTTGAATTGAATTAAAAATTTAAATCAAATTGAAAATCTAAATTAATCAATTAAAGAAATTCAATTCGTTCTATGGTTTCAATGTATTAATTTATGATTCTAGATTCTACGAACTGACTATGGAGCTGGTCTCCGAAACGTTTTCTATAAAGATATGAATTGTTGTGGACTATTCTTTTCTTTTAAATTCTTAGTTAGTATATAGATGTCTGTGGTCTAGTAAGGTTGATTGTGTACGCTGGTCCGGCACTCCAAATGTCGACTAAGCACCACTCTCGTTTGGAGTCACTCTCTAGTAGAGAGCCTAATTGATCTTTATAGAGAACATGAATGTCTATGGAGTGTTCGGTCAAAGGAGTCCAAAAATCGAAATACAAATGATGTAAGTTATTTTTACATGACTTGTTTAGTTTATGTGATTTTAGCAACTCCTGACAATTTATGCATTACCGTTTAGCGATTTCAAAGGATGATGTATTATCGGTACGAATATTGGAGCTTTTTATTTAAGAATAGACTATATTTTTTATAAACTGTATGTTTTTGAATGTGCTACTTCTCTAATTATGATGCCTATGCTGAGTTCTCGTTTACAAATGGCATAGTGCGCAGAATGACGGACCGCAACACACCCGAGAACAATGGCCCACAGCTCAAATTCGGTGACATCCATCCTCATTGACGTCTAGGTGGCAACTAGTGTTCAAAGCGCGCGGTCTCAAACAACCGAGTACAAAAGTAGTGTAAACGGTTGTGCGCGGTGAGGCACTGCAGCAAACGACTCAAAGCGCATGTCGTTGCCACTAGTGTAAACGGGCCTTTAGAAGATGGCTTGCCATCATCCCTTCCAGCTCTTCCAACCCTACCGTCCCTACCATCCACCCAAGTTACAGAAGTACCCTCAAGCAGACCACCAGCAAGGAAAGGTGTTTGCTGGAAGTACCTGCAAAAGAAATGTGATCACGGGCACCTGGCAGAGCGGTGTCGCTGCAGCTAAGCGCACCAATGAGGGAAGACTGTCATTTTGCTGGCTAACATCGAGGGGCTCTTCCCACAAAAAGCGCGTTACAAGATTGGCGTGCTTCTTGAGATGGCCGACGAGGATGGGATCTTTATGATTGCACCAACTGAGTCGCACCTAAGAAAAGATATCCTCGATGCAGAAATTGCAATGGAAGGATTCCAACACTATTGCGCGGACCGGAACGAAGGGAGAAAGAAGGGCGGAGCAACTGTCTACCTTAGGAACTCCCTCGCTAGATGCACTGTAGAATTGAGATCGAAATCTGGAAACTCTGACGGCTTTGTTGAGTACGTGCTACTTCACATAAAAAATCGACCTGTGCGTAGCCATAGTCTATAGCCCTCCTGCTTGTCCACCGGAAAATTTCAACAATACCTTAAAGAAATAAAGACCAGGGTGGCTGAATTGGGTGATCCAGCACCCAGCCTAATAATTGGGGGGGGGGACTTCAATCTCCCACGAATCCGTTGGACAAGCCCTGACGGCTTAGAGGTCGATGACCGCGACACAAGTCAAGAAGCCCAACTTGTGAAGTTTGCTGCGGAACACTTGCTCAGTCAGCAGGTACGGTTGTCGACAAGGTAAACAATATCCTCTATCTCTTCCTTACTAATAATGAAAGAATGCTGGTTGACTTTCGGGTTGACGAGACCTCACTGTCTGACCCTCGCTTATAGTGATGGTGGAAACGACAATTGGAATTGAAACCCAGCCCAGGTCTATACCCCAAGAGAGACTGGCAGGACTTAACTTCCACAGTTAATCGAAGAACAGATTGGGTGGCGAGTTGGGAGAGTTGAGTTGACGAAATCGAATGCTGAGGAAATCTACATAAAACTGTGTGAGAAACTAGCACAGGTATGTGTGCGTCATATCCCAAGAAAAACAGACCATAAAATCCACAGCATTCCGGGAGACCGACAAAGCCTTATGAGAAAACGCAAATGATTAAATATACAAATAGCTGAATCCGCTAGTGATATGAGGAGACAGAGGCTAGTAAATTTGCACTAGGAAATCGAACTCAGGCTGAAGGACTCGCACAAGATGAAAGAACAAGAAGCGCAAGAGCAAGTGGTTGAGGTCATCAAAGAGAACCCTAAGTATTTTTTTAAATAAGCTCAGTCCAAGACTAAAATTGAGACGCCAGTGGGCCCGCTTAAGGATAACGAAGTAATTGTCAGAGATGACCATGTGAGTTACTGGGATCGCAGTTTGAATCAGTGTTCAGTAGCCCCGCTACTCAAGGGAGGAGAATGAAATTGAAGTTCTCCAGGAGCTGCCAGGCGGATGAGGTTTGGAGAACATTGAGTTTGGACCAGAAGACATGGAAATAAGTATCAAAGAACTGGCGACGTTTTCAGCGCCAGGGCCCGATGGAATTCCGGCAGTGCTGTTGAAAAATTGTGTTTGAGCAGTGAAGGCTCCGCTCACAATGCTCTGGAAAGCCTCGATGACGAAGGGAATTATTCTTGAGGGCCTCAGTGTGGTACTGATAACGCCAATCCACATAGGAGGCCCGAGGGACTGACCCCAAAATTACAGACCTGTGACATTGACCTCACACCTGATCAAGGTTTTTGAGAAGGTAGTGGCCAGGAGCCTTGTCCACCATATATAAGAGGCTGACCTGTATTGTAATAGACAACATGGTTTCCGGCGTAATCGTTCCTGTTTGTCGCAGTTACTGGAGCACTATCACCGTCTTGTGGCCCAGCTGGAGGAGGGAGCTGGCGTAGACGTAGTATACATAGACATTGCTAAAGTTTTTGAAAAAGTTGACCATGGAAACACCAAAGTGTCTCGGAATCTCACATTTGGAGACACTTTGACTTCTCTGAAACACTTTGGCGTCTTGCTTTCGGCACGGTCGCTCAGAGAGCCCTTGAAACACTTGAGTGTCTCGAGACAGAGGTCAATTTTCTCTCAGTGTAGTTTCGTGAAGCCTATACATACCGATATAAATTGTATAATAAATAGTTGTATAAAAGAACAAACTTGTGACTAATTCCACTGCGAAGGAGAGAAGCGTTGAAATCAGGTATAGAGACGGAGAAATATAGTTTTTCTAATTTTTTTTCTGGACTTGGGAGGCGGCCATGGATTAGATTGGGATCGGCCGGAGGAGTAGAATATGTCGGAATAATTTCATCAGGCGCTGGAAACTGGACAAGAATAGGGCAGAGACTCTGAGAAAATGGTTTCGTTCCCCGTAGATTTATCAGTATCTTCACGTTCGTTCGTTCGTTCGTTCGTTCGTTCGTTCGTTCGTTCTTTCCCATCTGTCTCCTAATCCCAAATTTCGAGACACCTGGGCGGATGTAGGTGTCTCGCTTTCGGCCCTATCGCTCGGAGAGGCCTCGAGATACTTAAGTGTTTCAAAACAATGGTAAATTTTCTCTCAGTGCATGAGCTTGAATAAAGCACCGAACGATATATAGCTTCGGAGTTGCATAAGAAAGAGCTGGGCATAATTTATGTTATCAAAGTTATTTCTCCAAGGATTTAACACATTTCATCTGAGAAAAAAGTATCAACTTTGAGGTAACGCCTATGAAAATAAGCGAATGTTTTTGATTCGAATACATTCCAACTCTCTTCCGCATTTGTAATTCATTATCGGATATATGTTTTCTTAATCTGTTAATAATGAAAATTTCGCTTCTATATTGATTATAGAAGCGAACTTCTCCCCAGAAGCGTACTTCTCCTAGCCTACAGCTATATTGATTAAATTGTTGACAATTTAAATGAAGACGCCAATAGAAATGTGCAATGTATTCTTACAAGAAGACTGCTTCTGTACTTGATTCAAGAGACATAGATCCTTGATCTACAAATTTGTTCATTATCGATTATAGTGAAACGGAGAAGAATTAAAATTCAACTGATAGTTCCTACCCGAGTGACATAATAATAAGTATAATAACTGTAATGACGGTACTTGCAACATAATAACTGTTCAATTTACTTATCCCCCAAATGGCACATATTGCCGAGGCAGACAATAAAAAACGGAGTTCAAATTTAGTAATTTTATCCGAGCTACCGATTATTGATATACAAAATATTCATAGTGATTACAGTGCTTGCAAAATCGATTCGCCGATCAACAGATTCGAGAAAACCAACGATCAAATTAACCACGACATCTTACTCAGCAATGACCAGTAGCAATGTCGTGGTTACTCAGCAATGACCAGTCCATCTCGAAAATATGTACAAAAAACAACACGCAACATCCCGTAGTTGCCAAAGCAATTCTAAGCAACATCCGACTTCTAAACTCCACAACTTTAACAGACCACGTAATTTCGGTTCACACTCAGCTAGAGCATTTCACGATAAAAACAACAAACATCCCGATGCATCTAAAGAAATCGAGAACATAACCTCCACAATTTCTAATCCCGTCTACGCGGTCACAGATCTAAGCGCAAGAAGCTTTACTCCCGAAAATTTCAATTAATCACGTGAGATGAAGACTGAATTCGCTCATATAGCTTAACGAAAATGCATTCATGTGATCTCATTCATTCCATCCGTCATCTCTCATAATGACACAATATGCTAACATCTCCAGTAAGTGTCATACACAGCCACGAAGGATTTCACAACGTATATCCAAAGTAAAGTTATAAATCGCAACCTATCGACCTCATTCTCATAATAGCCATCAAATCTGCTTATCGCAGACAAATTTGTGCTCGTAGACCTCTGCATGGAACAAATTGGGCCTAGCACAAAAAAAAAATATCTCTTGAATCATACAATTTTCACACAAACCAACTCTATATTAGAAGAATTGGCAGGAAAATTATTTACTGATTTAAATACTTGGAATCGGGAAATTGGACACAACCCGCACAGAACGCCGATGAAACTTCAATTCCCTCATAACACACTATTTTCTTCGTTGTCTCAAAGGGTATCAAACCCGTTCAGGCCACACAACGAAAACTTGTACAAGCATAGTATCAAGCCACTTTCGATAACATTACACTCATGCCACATCATTATAACCCAGGAGGAGACTCGCCTCCCTACGTTACACACAGCGTAGAGGCATCTTAAATCCTGCATAACAAAAACTCATTTAAATAATTCCAAATAAATAACTAACCCCAAAAGCACGGTCTTCTCCACCAGAACTATCGTAACAGTTGAACGCACCCTGAAAACATCCCAATAGGTGGCACCAGGCCTCACTTGCATACCAATAAGAAATAATTGCACGAAACAATATATACAACTTAATTTTTACTTGCACGTACAAAAATCGTAAAGAAGTAGTGAGGTAAGACCGTGAGTAGTGTAAAAGTTAATCCGGCTAAAACAGAGGAAAGAAGACAAGATATGACAATGGTGTTGCTCGAATGTCGATCTATATATTACAAGATATGACAATTATTAATACTCCAAGTACGTTTGCGTCGAAATTTCAGTCTTTTCCAAGTAAGTCAAGAACATCGGTATTTACGAACTTGAATGTACCCGATATATGATGGTACATTTCCGCTATTCTCATCACCTACAAACCTACCAATTCTGTAGCACAAACCTCCATCAATAGTCGGAATGGCTAATTCGGCTTATGAAATTATGCGTAGCTGCAGTTAGTAGTGCAGCGCAGACGAGGTTAGTAGAGCCAGGGTAACAGCCAAATAATTATTAAACTTGCAGCAGGAACCCAATGCACACAAATGAAGGTCGAGCAAGAATTCCTTGAATTTTAATACCGAAACAGAACTGTGTATATATAGTATAATATGAGGCCCTAGGCCTTTTTTCAATGCACATCATGGTATAATTTTTCTGAAACCTACAACTTTCATTGCAGAAGCGTCAATTACAGATAAAAACAACACAGATTTTCCATACCTGAAATCATGTTGCAGATGCACACAACGACAATGTCCCAATGGAAGCCTGTCCCTTTCTTCAAGTTTCGTTCAGGCTTGGAAACGATCAGTCTGAGGAAATATAAATTTTGACATTCGTTACATGGAATGAACTTGAGCTCTCAATTGAACATGGTGGTACGATGTAGGTTCAAATTCAAAAATGCAAAGAATGCGCAAGCATGGGTGTGCTGGATTAAATTTTCGATCCGCAAACATGTTAGTCGCCCCACTACTCCCTCAGTAACTTAGCTATCAACTTAGTAAGGGTCATTCAAAACGGAGAATTCCAAAATTCACTAATAGGCGTTTTCAAAGGCTATTCAAAGCCAAAATGTTCAAAAGTTGTGACCAATATCGCAAGATTTCTTCTTAAAAATTATATCAAATTTCAAGTAGTCGTTCTTCCTCTCTTTTTTAGTCCGTGATTAGACCTGCTCCACTCACTGGCTAATGTTCGCTTCGATGAAAATAAGAATGAATACGAGCAGCGATGCAGGGGCACACATGAAGATCACCCAAATAGGAATGCTTTTATGTTCACCGAAGGGATTGATAATCCATCCTCGGAACTCAGGGTCACTCGGCTGGATACCCTTGGGCATGGTGAGTTTGTCAGTGAAGGTGTACTTGATGAAATAGTCTACAGCCACCATTGCTACGATCGCAATGGGCACACCGAAATCGCCCAACGCTCGACGAATCTGCAACATATAAATTATTATAACCTACACATTACATCGATAATACGCTTACAAATTATACTAATCGAAAAGTTTCAAATATTGGGAATTAGGTGTGGTTATTATGAATATAATTTGGTAAATGTTAAACATAAATAAAATCTGTAGCTGGAGAAGACTAAATTTTTAGGAGATCAAGGTTTAAGTTAGCGAGCGAGAAGCTGGAAGACATGCGAGATGGTGCATGCCCAACCTAGTCAGTCCCCTGATGAAATGAAAATTAGTGGTCGCTGTGATGTCCAAAATTATTTGGGATTTTCTTTGAGTTCATGTGTTGTAATAAGTTTTTCCATGCTATTTATTCGCAGGTTTTGTTTGTACCTATCCAAGTAGGTTTGGCTCCTTTTGCATTGATTTTTTTATTATGTGTTTTGTATTAGTGTCGCATTGTAGCGGCATGAGCAAATGGCGGCGAGTGACCGTGGTTATTGTGAATGAGTGTATGGGTTAGTCTCCCATCTTGTGGTATGTGTAGCTGGTAAGTAGGAGAGTCAAGCTGTCTTGTTCGCATTGCGCGGTGTTATTTTCATTGTTCATGTACATTTCGACAGTCAGTCGCTTTGTGTTATTGTCGAGGCTGTGTTAAATATTTTCAGAAAATCTGTGTAGTGTTTAATTTCTTGAATGAGCATTTTTCAGCCATGACTTCTGTGTGCTGACCTAATGTTTAAGTTCGGCGACGAGCTGTTGCTTCCCACGATTCTACCTTGTTGATAATAAAAAAAATTCTTTATCTACATTAATCGGGTGTTTATTTGGCCAACTAGGGAGGGCAGAAATGTTTTTAAGATAAAACGAACTTACTGTAAATATTTCCACGAAAAGCTCACGAGACTAGAAATTTCGGTCTCGAAGCATAAAAAAAAAAACTTCAGCATACCTGACATCAGCGTTTGAATACTCACCGGACGCCCGAGGTACTTTGAGTTTCGGAATTTCTTGAGTCTGATGGCGATGATGAATGTGCAGAACATGAGTAACAGTGACAGCAGCGCCGTGTTGGGTTGTGGTGGAAGTTTATGAAGAGATCCTGTTACCGGAGCTTCAGTCATGTTCATATATTCGTCGGTACTGTTCATCATGTTCATGGCGAAACCATCGTCAAGTGATACCGCGAACGTCCCGTTATCTACGTCAGGATAATCGGTGGTAGACGGGAATCTGTGTTTCAATTTACGAATTATTTGGTTATTTATTGATATGAAAGCAGATGAAGTCATAGTGAATTTCTACCGGTAATTATTAAGGTAGAAAAATTCATTAAAGTACAGAAAACTAAAACACGTAATGAAAAATAGAAGGGAGCCCCAAAGTTTCTGAATCTCTGTAAAATGGTGGAAAATCGAAGCCAAGGTTAGAAGAATATAGACATAATTATTCCATTAGATATTTTAGAAAGTTAATTTGTTTGCGTGTTGCAGTCTGAAGATGCAAATACATATATTGAGACTATGCGAACAGCTATCCTGTGGAATTGTAACCGGGGCCTAAAAACTAATTTCAATGGCGAAATCATTAGGCATCACAAAACGAAAATTAGATTAAAAAACACACCTGAAACTGGACATGATTACAAATTTCATTCACTCATTTGATAGTGGGAACTGGATTCTTGCGATTGGAAAACAGGAAAGTGATTCGCTAATCTCTTGGATTCTTGGATTATGATGTCAATCCTGAGCAACACTGGGTTCACCTGCTTGTATAGTACATATATATATTTGTCAGTTTGTCAGCATATAACCTGCAGGTTCTGAAATTTGTTTCTTTATTTGGGACGTTAAATTTATTCTATAATATAAAATGTAATTCTTCGAATTTCACACTAGAGCTAAATAGAAATTCCATGCTTAATGTACTATGGTGCAACGGGTCATTAAATTACTGTACTGTTACTAAGGGGACCGACTACCCTAAAATTTTCAATATTGGCGTTTTCCGGTTTTTGTGCTCATCTGAAAGCTGGAATTCTGCTCTTTCCAATGGTACTACCACTGCCATCGCTGTACGCCAATATTTACGTTCATGACGTCTCTTTAAAGGGAAGCGGGTGGGAGAGTTCTGTAACTAATTAGATATAAAGTAATTAGCTGCTGAAATCTTTGGATATAGTTTCTACTTGAGTTGTGCTGCAGTTGCATGCTTAGTCTCATCTTAAAGCTGACATTCTGAGCTTTCCAACGATACTACTGCGATCCATGTACAGCAATATTGACGCACACAGCCGGGCTTTAACGGGGGGGTGGGGGGTGGAGTTACTTCAGTAAATAGACCTAAGAAAATTACAGCGGCAAGACTACATATATTGGTGTATCTGGCATCTGAGCTCAGTTACCCTCCTAACTTTGTACGGAGGGGTGCGCTACAAGTTGCTGCCAGCATCCTTGAGTGGATTAAGCTACAGAAGCCTGTAGTTTGGTATCCATGCTACATTGAGTGCCTATTTCGAGGCGCACGGGACTTTGTCGCGCCGTCCTGAAAAGTTCAACTTATTGTCACGGAAAACCTATCTCCTCCTACAGTTTTTAAGCTACAGCAATGAGACATATACCATTCGATTCGTAAAGACCCCACCTATCGAACTGAAGAGCACTTTTTTGAATTTCAGTCTGGTTCGTTTTTTATATGGGGGAGAAGGGGGGAGGGTGGAAAAATGAGAAAAATGGGAAAAACGCACATAAAAAAAACTAAGGGGAAAATAAGAAAAGTGCTCTTCAAATCGATAGGGATGGTCTTTACAAACCGAATGATACGTGTCTCGATGTTGTAGGATGATATTTGTAGGAGGAGATAGATTTTCTAAAGTATCCATTTTTAGCCGTTTTCTATGAATTTCTCGTTTTCTATCAATTTTTTCGAAAAATTCATAGAAGCAATATGTTATTTTTTTACATTTTACGTATGTATTGGAAGTTTCATGATGATCGGATAATAACTGTAGAAGTTTTTCCGGAGGGTAGTCGGTCCCATTAATGGGAAACCAAAAATGATGGAAATTGGAATGAGATTGTCGGGTATAACGGGGATTTCCCAATCCCTTATTAATTAGCTTTCCCGGGCAAGGCCAGATCAATCTGATGACGTATTTGGAAAGTTTATACGTTTTAATTCTGGCGCAGTAGTTATGAAGAGATAATTTGAGCGCATATTCTCAATACCAATCGTGTTGGGATATTACCGCGTCCTGAAATTATATTTTAGGTGATTTAATAACGTGGCATCTCAAAGCGAGAGAATAGAAGCTCGAATTAAGAAATAGAATAATAGTGTATATATAATTTCATTTATTAAAAAAATTAAATTACATGTATCTTCCATTTACTAACGGGATGTGAAAAATAAATCAATATTACATGGAAGTGTATCCTGAAAAGTAAACATGCTGGTAAATTCATCTTCCAATATGTTTTAATGAAACAAAAGTCAGATGCCGAGACTTTCACGTAACAAATTGGAACACACCCGCACTACTAGCGTTGACTGGGCGTATTTAGGATATGAGACAGATATAATCACGTTATCTTCAGTTATTCACAAATAAAAGCTGTTGTCTATTCACAACTAAAAGCTTTTGACAGCTAGTGCTGTCTTCCACTACTTACATGGTTGTAAAGAAACTGTCTTCACCGTAGCAATATTCGGCGAGCAGCGGATGGGCAATGAAGATGTAGACGAGTTTCTCAAGGGCTTCGTAGATGAAGATGACGCACACGAAAGTCGAGAAAATCTCCTCGACGAAGCGTGTAAGGAACCTCACGACAGTCACGCCCTCCACGGCCGAGATGATGATCACGAACACCGTCTGCCAAATGCTGATCCACGTCCGCATCACCAGGAATTCCTCCCCCATTGACTTCGCAAACTGCCAAGAGTGACGAGACGTTCCTGTCATTTGTTGACCAATTCCAAACAAAATTTCAAAATGTTAATACATAAACAATTAATATTCAACAAGAAGTATGCATCCATCTGCTTCATTCAATGTTCTTGTTACCTCTACAAAACACCAATTCGGAATATTCCATGAACTTCGAGCCTGAATAACGAGTCATTTTACTATCTCGATCACGCTTGGCAGGGTTAAGATTTTAGTAATTATATCGAGTTTACTCATTGCTAACGAAAGTTAATTCGAACAGTGACTTGAATAAAAAATTACGCTCGAGAAAAACTTTACAATCTAATGATAACTATATGTAAAACAAAGAGCTTCTACCTATGTAGGCAATTATCATCAGCCAAGATGATATCATAATTAACTGAGGCTATTAGGCGTAACAAATTATTGGAAAGCTAATTCAAAACCGTTTAATTGAGTCGACGGACTCACGTTTTACTTATTTCCTCTAAACTATTGAATGCGCAACTCATTCCAGCGTTTGAACTCGACACGTTTTTAATTTTTATAATATAGAGTCATGCCAGACGGAGAATATCATATGTTTGCAAGGCGTGTTCATATGAATTTGTGTGCAGAACTAAAACGAGGTAGAGCATCCGATGATGTTACCGAGAAGAGTGCCATGTCAAAGACCATGAGGGGACCAGTCGCTCCGATGATGAGCAGAGGCTGGCAACCAAACAAGGCGAGTACGATTCCGTTGATGCAGGTGGTAAGGAGGGTTTCACCCACGCCAATTTGTCTACCGGTCTTGGCAGCTGTGATGAAATATTATTCAGTTGAAATGCTAACAGAGCCTGTACTCAGAATTGTTCTTAAAAGATTCTCCAGTACAGAATTGTATAATGAGCAGCTTTATCAGCGGTTCAAATGTAACTTTTCTAGAATAAAGTTAGTATATATCAATACTATTTGATATCATTGATTATTTGTGGTCTACGGTTGTGTGGTGCAAGGGATTCAATGATAAATTACTCGTTTCCATGCATGCTATTTTTATTTTGTATCTTGTAAAACCGCAAAAGATCGCAGCAACTGCTTGCCAAAGGGAAGGGCTTACATATATACGCTATTTATAGGCAAGTAGTGCTTCCATCGGCAGGCCATTATAATTCGATGTTGTTGATAGGTAGCCAAAATTATACACATATCTAGACAAAGTGTAGTTAAGAATAAAAAATAACAATTCTAGCTTCATAACTGTACTGGTTAAAAAAACTCACCATACAGGCCACCGAAAGTGATGGCTGGCGAGAGGCTGGCGAAAAAAATGAAGATAGCAGCAGCGACGACCTGAGGGCTCAAACCGTCAATGACGTCGCTGAGGTAGAAGGGTAGACGCGACTTGATGTCCATGTAGACGCCGTAGAAGGGCTTGCCCACGCGCTTCATGGGGTCGCGAATGGGTGCCTCTTTCTTTTCCTTGGCGTGCAGTTCAATAGGTTGCATCACAGGCTGAGTTGGCAACTCTGCAACGACAATGTCCTGTGTAGATCAGCTCATTTGTTAGTCAAGTGACGTATGAATGTAATATGGAAAATTAGAGCTAAATCATTGATTGGTCAGGAATTTGTGACGCACAATGTCTTTGAAAAAAACTTATTTCTAAAAATACTGACGGGGCTCAGACTCAAGGCGCTTTCTGCGAAGAGTTCGCTTCCTTTTCATCATCTCCTGGGCCTTCTCTCTAATTTGGTCTATTGGAATAAGGTTCGTGTTTGTCCACTCGGCTGCGGGAAGCACGATGGATGCGTTCAAGAATTCGTTGATGGCCGACAACAACTGCCCACGAGAGTGAGCGCGATACGCCACCTGAGAAGATGATCAGCGTTTTAATTTATTTCGTGACGACACACAAGGACTATTCGCAAGACTGAGCGCAACATGACACCCTTCAACTCACAGTGAGTAATTATAACGAGTTCAAGCTGTTCATGGAGCATTTCTCTGAGTGAAAGATCTGCATTGAAAGAGAAAATATCACACGTGAGAAAGTTGTCGACACACTTGAGAATGTCTTTTCGCTAGAAAGAACGTAAATCCAAAAGTAAATAGAAATCAGGAAAAGAAATGAGCGGGTGGGACGAAAAAAATATACTATTGTTTTTATGTATATTATCATTGACATATAAAAGTAGGTAATACAGAATGTGTGCCCATCATATTTCTTTTTTCCATTAAAAGATTCGTGGAAGTTCTAATCATCATGGAAAATGAACCGTTATATTAATTCGATGCTCAACCTTTGGTCCCAGGTGTTTGGCTCCCAGGTGTTTGGCTCCCAGGTATTTTCGGGAATACAGGAGATATTGATACAGAATAACTTAACAGTCTTTGAACACACCTGTCACTAGACTGTCCGTGGTGTTATTGTGGATAAAACGAAGATAAATGGATGGTCAACCGTCAAACAGCCAGCGGCAAAGTATGCTTTAAAGCAAGTTTCAAGAGGGAGCTGACTGGACTAACCTCACTGAACTGTTCGTCTGACATCAGCGTAGAAATCGATCGTCCCACTTCATAATAATCCATCTCGCCCTGGAACGGCCCCAGCAGGACAAATATAAACCGAACGGGCACGGGTACCTGGCGAATAATTGCAATAATTAATTATAATTATAATGGATACCAGGCGAATAATTGTAATTATTCATCACAAGAGACGCAGAAATCCGCAATGCTAATGTATAAATATTAGTTTTAAAAAATTACCGCATTGCTACAAATTAAGCGCTGTGCGAATTTATTGATCTAACACCAATGTCGATATCCCGCTTACCGGTAGAACTATAATTACAAAAAAAAATTTCGAATAAACAGAAGCTCGCATATCAGTATTCTGATTTTTTTGATAGAATTGATCGCGTTGAAAGAAGATTCGGTCTTCTTGCGAAACAAAAAGCAATGATTAGAGTGGATGAATTGAATTAAAATTTAGTCTCGCAGCGAAACAAAAATGATAATTTGAGTAAATGAATTGAAGTTATATTTTCATATAATGGAATGCTTAAAATTGACGACCTCTCAATGAACATGAACCGCTCTATCTTTTTTCTTCCTCATACACGTAACGCATACTCATATAGTTTATTTATAAAATTTGACTGCACTGCTTAGGCGCCAATTGCATTGAGCATTAATGCTGGAACACCATGGAACTTCGTACTTCAACGAGGTTGTCCGTCATGACTCCTTCGGCGAGCCTGACGAAGGCGATCGTGGGGAACTTGAGGAAGTCGACTGCTCCTACAAGAACCGCCGTAGCCTCAGAGTCATCCTTCAGCTTCCTCATGAGGTCCATGTTCTGGAAGGTCTCCATGATGCGAGTCCCCTCGCCTGTTTCGGGCTGTACGAGACAAACATGTAACAAATCAACAATGTCTCAGCATGCTCCTTTATCTTTCTTTGAATGATATTTAAAGATCAGTTGAACGAGACTTTGCGTCTCATAATTGAAAGTCGGGCATCAGTGAATTCTCCCAGTTTAACTACGAAGATTGTAACTAAGCATTGAGACTAGTGTCGTAGTGTTCAATTACAGTAGAGTGAAGTGGAAAAGCAATGGGAGGTAGTAAAACGCAGGCTGTGCCGTCAGAATTAGCAGCAAATAGGTGTGTCATGTTATTGTAATTAATTATCAGTTCAGTGGGACATGTTTTATGGTGAGTTCTGAAATGAGAGACAGATCAAAAATAAAAAGTGTACTGATTTATGTTCTTAAAGTCATGGAAGCTCTGGCTCATATCCAAACAGCAATGCGGAAAGCTTTGTGTCTTCGCCCACGCACCTCACCGAGACGTGGCTCTTTTCACTGCACGTTTTACACACTTATATTATTACGGCTCGAATTGGTGAAAACCAAGATCCTGAATGAAGTTTCATACAAACATTAGCGAGCTATATTTAGTAGAAATTCATATGTCAGTCTCACAAACAATCCCTGACGTTGCCGTATACAACTCTGTCTGCCCTAAACTCATTCCCCATTCTGGCCACCAAAAATATGTTGATGGATAACTGAGCATCATATAGGCGATATCAGTACGGTACATTGACGATAGTGAAAAAATACCTAAAATCCAGATTTACAAGATTTTATGTGTTATTTAATAAATCAGTATATTGATAGTCTATACTGAATCGGTGGATATATTAAATAGACTAAATAGACACATCCAAACAAAGAACGTAAATTTGTTCTTGACAACTCCAAAATCCTATAGTAAAACTATTAGAAAATATCCTATAGTATATCCTATAGTATATTAGGCGACCGTTCTGTCGATTCTGCAGGTTTTAAGACTCCATTTAAAGCCTATGAAAGTTAGTGACTCTTCCACGAACTATAGCGAATTTCAGGGGATCTTTCCAACAAAAACATCTGTTTAATTCAACAGTTGACGCTTGGCTATTGGGCTGCAAGATTTCCTGCCATTAACGATTTCAGCTTTATTTGCTAAAGTTCGCGGAATTATTCATCACAACCGCGACTCCTGGTTGCTCAAAGTATTCATGTGAGTTCCTCGCCCGTCAATAAAGGCAGTCTTCCTCCCAGATCTTCCGCTTCAGTGGGCATCAGGGAATCTCGTTCAATGAGGACCATCAGTAAGTTGAAGCAAATTATGGAACTCATTTCCACCTGAAATCCACATCGAACACAACGGCAAGTTAAGTGTTCAACCGGAACTAGGCACCGCCACAACAATAGATCAGATCGATATATGATAATATTATGTGCTAAACGATTCAACTATGTAGAAACGACGGTTCACATAATATAAATCTCAACTGCTGGCATCGTTAGTCAATGCTTACTCACCCCACAAAAAGCCGTGAAAAAGAAATAACTTGGTCGGTAAGATCTGATCTATGCACTGGATGCCAACTAAGCACATATTTTCTTCGTAAAATTTAGCTACAGCACTTTGCTTTGAATTCACGCGCAGGCTTGTTACATGGCTGCTCCAAACTAGAATAATCATATCCGCGATATGATTCTTCGCGATAGAGTTCACCACATAATAAATCTCTAGCTCACGTTGTAAATCTCGATGGTGTCGCCTTTTTCGGCGAAGGAAGGAAGTCTTTTTCTGAAGCCGCCGTTGGTCTGTGACTTGGTAAGGCTCTCCTCAAACGAACTGTGGCGCCGGCCCCCCAGGCTCTGGTTCTGCATCACCCAAAGAATATAAGACGTGGCTTGATATAGGACAGATAGACACACTCCGATCACAATTAAAAAGCACGAAAGTAAACATTCAGATACATCATGAATTTATAATCCCATTGTACAAAAAAATTAAACCTACCTAATTTGCAGATTAATGATACAATAAACAAGTTTTTTTAGTCGTCAGTATTTGTATGTGTGGGTTTGTGTTGTTGAAACCTGACACCACAAATAGATGGGGTTATTAGGGATACTTATGATACTTATCGTGTCGGGATATTACCCAGACCTGAAATTTTATTCATCGTGGGAGAATAGGAGGATATTTTTTTAAATGGAGGAGAGAATTGTTTCAAAAATCAGAATTTGACTAGTCAAATTGGTAACTAACTAACTACACATAATTTTATTTAGAACTCGCAAAATACTTATTGTGAATATTTTCACTTGCGAAAACACGATTCCAAAATTGCAGGGATTATCAAGCCAGGACATGGCCGGTCAAACCTATTAATTAAATATATTATATAGATATATATATTGTATATATGGAAAATTTAGTCATATAACGAGATAATTCTATCAGTCTTTCTATATCATAAGTTCACAAGGAATTTAAAAGCAAAGAAAACGCCAAGAAAATCTGCGTATACGTTGGAATGACGTCGCGTAACTTCTACATCCGGGTTTCTGAACACCGCGGCAGGAGCTATCGTTCGAACTTGCTTCTCGGCAAGCCTCCTCATTCTTCAGTGCGCCTCCATGCTGAACAGTGCGACGTGGCTGTAACTGAGAGTGATTTCGGGATGCTCGGTTCCACTTCTGGCTGCTGGGATTTGAGGAAATGGGAGTCTCTACATATCTTCATACGAAAACCGTGTTTAAATAATGCGTTTAGTTCATATACCTCTTGAAATAGTGAATCGCTAGGCTTTTATGTTTTAGTGTTTTTCTTAAGTTTTATTCTTTTCGAGACCCCTAGTACTAAGTTGCTCCGATCGAGTACTGTTTTTCGATATAATGTTAGGTCTTATTTAGGTTTCACGTCTGTCATAGAATTTTGACTTATAAATGAAATTATTCATTTTTAGATTATCGAACTGATGAGGGAGCTAGCTGGACTCCGAAACGTTTTCAATATCGGTATGGATTTGCTTGGCGTTTTCTTTTCTTTTAAATTCCTTGTGATAATTTTAAAGATATTGCGTTCAAAATCCAAAGACAAATTTGATACATAAGCATAGGCAAAATTTATTAGAACAATACTGAGATTAGGGATGGTATGAGTAGTAAGGCCTTACCAAGAGGACTTTGTTGATTGTGGTCCTCCTGATGGAGGCCCTGATGTTGCCAGTGATGCTGTTTGATCTAGAGTCAACGATGTTTGACACTGTGATCAGCTTGCCGTCTGCATTGCTGCGTTGAATGAAAACAATACCATACTAAATTAAAAATACAACATCGGGTCTATGTCAGGTCCAGCAAAAATATGATATAACATGGTAACAGTGGAAAACAAAGTTATCGATAAACAAACAAAAAATTCTATCTGTTGCGGACGATGGTTACGGTACGGCCATTGCATAGTGACAGTGGAATATAGATATTAGAGCCTATGGTGACGCAAAAAAGTTAAAAAAGGAGCCTGCCATGAAATTCTGTTATTGCAGCGACTATTGATGTAAGTTCTCTGTGTCACAGGACGTCACTAACACAATTGACATCATTTAAGGGAATACAAATTTTACTACATACAGAGTATATACACTGGCATCGCTATATATAGCATCTTGTCTAAAGGCTGGTGGTGGAGATTCGATGTCGCCAGAAAGAATGAAGAAAATATAACTCAGTACTCACTGCAGTGAGTGACAGGGAGCGCATTTTCTCGTCGACGAAAACTTGAGGTCACGGACAGACGGACGGACAGACGGACAGACAGACGGACATGGCGAACACAATAGTGCATTTTTTCCATAAATGAGAAAATGCGCTAAAAACACTGAGTGGCACAAGAAAAGAATATGTGGATGGTGTCAAGCATCAACTTACAAATTGCAAGCACTAGGCGGAGGACCTAGTGCTAATGATTGATACGTTTGATTAGCTGATGCTGCATTGTAACAGTGTATGGTTAGTTGTTTGAAGAGTTGTAGGACATATGTTTCAATGGTGGACCAGATTTTGGTGTCTTTGATGGTGTGAAACATTTGGAGAGGTCGCATGCCATAGGCCAGCGTTTCCCAACTTCACTCCAGCTTCATATCCCTTCCTAGGAGTAAAAACGCTAGAAGGCGTGGCAAACTTGAAAAGTTTAGTGCTCAAAGCCTTAGCACCGTATGTGTGCTAAAGCCTTACCTTGCCTCACACTCAAAGCCTTACCGCTGCTTGATCATGCGCATGAAAAACACGGTCATTCCGCATCTGGCCAAACCTGTGCCCGGCTAAACCGCTATTTGCGGTTTGGGCGCTAAAAACATTTTCGGCTAAACAAAAATATTTTACGGTTGGCCGCTAAAAAACAAAAACATTTTAAAAGCACGTTGCAATATTTCTGCTCCCTCCTCCTAAAAAAACTAATCTGACCTAAAATAACCTTATTGGTTGCATGAAGCAAGAGATAAGGTGCACGTGTGCAGGCAAAGCCAGTCATCGGTTGCAAGAAAGGTCTAAGTTAGGCCAGCGTGAATAGGTTAGGCGAGAAGAGGTTAGGCCGGAGGAGGTGAGACCAGATGTAGAACACTCTGCCTATGATCAAGCATGTTTAGGTATGGGTTTAAGATCTACAGAGCCATTACCGTTTATCTGTGTGTCACTGGTATAGATTACGATGATCTAGCGAAGTCTGTGGCTTCTAGTTTTATGGCTGGGTAGAGTTACATCACACTTAGGCTGGGATTTATCTAGAGCGTATTTAAGAGTTATATTTTGGGGCACTTGGCTGCGCCCCCTTAGGGGAAGATCGCAATGACGCGTTTTTTTTTATTAAAAATCACTATGGCGTTTTTTATGGCAGGGAAATAACGAGATGTGGAATGATTTTATACATCTAGTAGTTAGTCGGTCATGTTTCTGGGTGTTTGACTTGACGTAACTCACAGGGTGATGCGAGACTCCCTTCTTGCCACGGCAAAGCGCGTTTCGTTGACGTGCCGAGATCTAGCCATCAAGGTGGAGGTGGTGGCTTCCTTTTGGTCAGCAGGTATTTGATCGTGCGCAATCATATACTCTACAATCCTATTTACGATCCCTGACCGATCTGTCTCTTCCACGTCAAGAAGAACCGCTCCTGTACCGAAAATTGAGGAACAAACGGTAAACAAATGAGCTGGTTTATCTGGCTTCTGTAGTTCATATGAATATATTGGAACCGTTCCTCAAATTGGCTGTATTGCGTTCACAAGTTGAAGTACACTTCTTACCTTTTTCAAGTCCTTTCCTGAGGGAGAAGAGCGAGTGGAAGTTGAGGAAAGCGACGTGAGGCTTGCCCCAGCGGTCGCTATGCACGCCCTCGACGCTCTCCTCGTACTTGATCCAGCGAGCCGTCTGCCGCCACTCCAACCCCATGGTCGACTCCTTCAACTCGCATAACTCCACGAACATCTGAGTGCGGGCAATCAGTAATGTATAAATGCATTGAATAACGATCATAGAATAACGATCCAGCGAGCCGTCTGCCGCCACTCCAACCCCATGGTCGACTCCTTCAACTCGCATAACTCCACGAACATCTGAGTGCGGGGAGTCAGTAATGTATAAATACCTTGAATAACGATCATTGAATATAACGAACATAGAATAACGATCCGGCGAGCCGTCTGCCGCCACTCCAGCCCTATGGTCGACTCCTTCAACTCGCATAACTCCACGAATATCTGAGTCCGGGCAGTCAGTAATATATTGTACATCAAATAAGAAATGCATAGAGCGCATGCAATTTTTGAGCACAAATCCATATTACATATATGATTTATAGGCATCAATTTAAAGTTATTGCATACTTAACTTGGCTCTCTATTTACCTATAATAATTAATTAATATTACTTTCAAAGCTGTAATACTCGTGGTAGTGGAAGCAATACAAAAAGTTAATGTATGCACAGTATTCCCTCATCTATCTCAGGTGTTACGTTCCAGACCTCGGCCGCGATAGGTGAAATCCGTGATGTAGGGTTTTTCGACTGCTAGTACACATTTAAGTATTTTTCAAGGTTTTGTTAAATTTTCATCGTTTTAGTGCCCATAAATTAATTAAATGCTAAGTTTTTCAATATATCTTTTTCTTCATGTAATTTTAGATATACAGTATTTATATATATTTTTAAACCTGCCGATCAATTTCATCAGAAACCTACAAACCAGCAAATATCGGTAATTAACTTTTCACATTAGTATTTATTGAGAACCCGCAATAATGTGACACCGCGGTAGGTAAAGTGCGAGATGTATAGCGTGAGATTACTGTATGACCGTGGCAAATGTGATGGATTATTTACTGCTTTGTGCGAGGACAGAGGCATTTAGGGTGAATAGAAATACACAGCGGTTGAATGTACGGAGAAAGAAAAATGTTTTATGTATTTTTATGAAAGATTGTGTTTTATGTGTGATCCTGACTGAAGCTGTGGAAAATCTAGTGAAGTTTGAGGCGCGTGTGAGAGAGACGAATGGGTGGCGATGGAAGTAATTTTGAATAATGGAGGGGATGAAAGTGCTGGCTTTGGTGTGAGAAAACTGGTGAAAAGTAAGCTGCAATAATTGCGAATGTACTCCTTATTGGAGAGAGTAAGTAACTGCTGTGGCTATGATTGAAAATGCAATAAGAACTTTGGAGAACGTTTATAGTCTGAGGATGAAGAACGACTATAAATAAATCACGACAAGAGTATCTCTTATAATGCGGCAGTAAGAACGGATCATTTTATGTTACATGTTGATATTTTATGCATCATAAGCGTTTTTGCACGGCTAATATGGCAGTTTAATTGTTTAATAGTAGTGTGTTCAGGTCTTTCTGAGGCCTAGAACTTTTCATTTTTTCGTTAGTCAGCAACGTGGATTTCGAGGGACACCAAACGACATCAGCGTTTCTCGACACGTTGACTCCCATCTATGTTTAACTAACGTTCAATGAATGAGTTACAACAACCTTGTAGTAGCCACGTTTAAATGATGAAAATATTATTTTGTTTGAATGAACGTACTAAATTACTCCTGAGTAACTTATTGGCAAATGGATGAGGTAAATCGAAGGATAAATGCAAAGAAGCCTATGCTCACGGGATGTGGTTCGTGATCGTAGTTTTTCTTCATAGCGGCGGTGAGCTTCCAAGAGCTGATGTGCCTGAACTCTTCCCCTGGCAGGGACGACACTCCTGACACCGACGGTCTGTGCGGGCGCACCTTCGTGCGGTGGTAGGCTGCCGCGTCGTCGAATCTGTGACCTGAAAATAAACCAGTCAAGAAAGTGTATCAGTTAAACGACAGCTAAATCTGCTTTCAATGCACGATATGATTTGCGAATTAGGACTTAGTATACGATAAAAACTAGTCGAAAATAACTAACAATGTCAGTCTTCTTCACAAAAATGAATAATCATCGTTACCCAACGTAAGGCAGTATTAAAACTTCGCTTCAAGTTTATCCTTGAGTCACAAAATTTCTATGGAAATGAAATTACACAAAGCTTGTGGAACAACCGAGCGTCTGAACTTGCCACATTTTTATAAAACTTAAATTACGGTTCCCAGGCTATAGTCGACGCGGCTTAATTTGCTAAACAAGTTCTGAAATACAATAGATGCAGCATGCAACAATCTCTACTGCATGCGCTGTAGAGATTGTATCATTGAACATATAGATTCTAATAAAGTATCACATGGATCAAATAAAGCTTGCCCTTCGATCACCAAGAGTCTTCGAAAAACGAAAAATAAGTGGTTCGAGCTTGCATTCTCTGGGGCGTTGTGAAAACGCAATAGGTTATTGTTAGTATTTTATCTTCGAAATTCCAGCAGGTTGTAACTTTCTTCATGCTGCTTGCTAAAAATCTATGCATTTCATACATTTGCATCTATCAGCCAGGTTAAATGGGGCAACCACTAATTTTGGCGTTTTATAGTAATTATATATGCATAGGTCTTGATTCATACAATCCGTACCTGCAATAATTTGTATAATTTTACAATCCGTACCTGCAATATAACAATAGCATGCACGATATTCATTTGAATGTGTTTGGAGTCTTCTGTTTGCCAACGTGTAATTTATCCCAACAGGATTCTCCCGCTACAAAGTAGATGCAACCGATACGGCAACATTGTCCATCCATCTGTATAGTGACGTTTAGGGCCCCCATTTTTTAAACCAAATTTATTATAAAGTTTTAATTGATACGAGGTTGTTCTTTGTTTTATTTGAAGTTAAAGCTAATTAGGAGAGTATGATATTAATTAAACGCCTATAGAGTTATTCAATTTTTAATGAAACACTATTTTTGTAAAAGGTGCCAAAATGGGTCCATTACCCCACCCCTGGGGCAAATGGGCCCATGAGCTTGGGGCAAGGGGGGCCCACCCTTGGTCCCTTTACCCCAATTGCACATTTTTTTGTTTAAAAATGATAAAACGGCACTTTACAGATCAAAATAAGAAGAATGTAATAAAAAATATTACGTTCATTCATTTGTTAACAACTAAAAAATCAAATCCTTAATTTGAAAAATCTTATATTCGTGGCTTAAAAAATCTATCACTGACGTGAAAAATATTTACTTGACATAAAAAAAATCCTTGACTTGAAAAATATATCCTTGCCATAAAAAACACATCCTTGATATGAAAAAATTTATCCCTGACTAGAAAAAAATATATTTACTTGATCAGAAAAAAACTTCGTTCCAGTTTCTTCCATAATCCAGATATTATGTGCAAGGAATTCGTACTTAATCGTGATTTCAGTCATCACAATAAAAACTCATCAACTTTAGTCTCATTGGTGTTGGCTGAAATCAACTTTTGGCAAGGCATGAGTCAATTGCGCGATATGGGGTCATAAATACGCATAACTAGAACCTGCTGAAGTGAGGCGGCAAATAAAAAAAATCATACAATATGAAGTGTAATTTGTAATTTAAAAAGCTAGTCATATTTTTGAAGTGCTCATTGAGACAAATCTAATTATTTATAACTCAAGACTTCTACAAGGGGTATTGAGTCAACATGCATGGGCGCTTTGCTCCGTGACACGCATGGGCCCGTTACCCCACTAGATATCATTTCAATTGATATCGTGTCAACATTTTATTTTAAAAGCTAATATAGTCTAAACTTGAACTCAAAAATATCCCTATAAATTATACTTTCAAAATATAATTCACAGTAATTTCAAAAGCTTCATATGAGTAATCGAAAACAGTTTTATTTAGCAGCAGAAAAACTTGTATCTGGGCTAAAACATTTTTTTGCGAGTAACTTATCATCACAAAATCTTAGCAAAACGTAGAGCCACACACTTCAGCCCAGTGAAACTGTCGGCCGGCGGTAGAGCACACGGACCAATATCTGACATACTTAGCGGGAAACCGGCTATGGGCCCGTGCCCCACAGTGGTCTCTTTGCCCCATGTTACCCTATCATTATTTTATCAAGGAGTCTTTATGGCTGCACCGTGAGAGATCATTCATGTTTCGCTGTGTATGGGTGCAGATTTAAGAGGAGAGCGTTTTTCAAATTTATTGTCACAGAATGTTCCTGTAAGGTGTTTAGTCATAACCATTTTCTTCCGAAATGCGCTTAGCGAATGAACTGAAAAAAAATTGATATCAATGATGCGGCAAGAACTTCTTATGTTAATAATATTTTAATAAATGTAGCGTAGTGGAAGAGCATTAATTGGCGGATACTTTTTGAAGCTCTTTTTAGCGCATTCTCTCATTTATGAAAAACAGGCGCTATTGCGCTCGTCATGTTCGTCCTTCCGTCTGTACGTCCGTGACTGAGAAAATATGCGCTCTCTGTCAGTCACTGCAGTGAGTACTGATCTATTTTTTATGTTTTACTTTGACATTTGTCAAATGTAAATAGAAATAATCTAAGAATGTTGTCGTACCACACTTTACAACTAAATCGTGAAGGCTTAAACCTTTTCTCCTTGCGCGTCTATGTTTTCCAAAATTGTCGAATTTGCCTTCATAATGTGATACGTTTTGCGTCGAGTCGAGGTCTGACATGAATTTTTGTTTCAGATGTTGTATAATTCGGTTGCAGCGTGGAATAATAGTCCGGCTTATCTAAATTATCAACATTTTAAAGCAAGCATTTCACGATGTCATCAGACTTGTTCAACATAATAGCATTGGAAAATACTACATTGAAAATATCTTTAGACGTTTGTCATTGGGAATCGGCTTATTTCTAATCAATTCAATATTAAAATAAATGTGTTCATTTCTAATACTTGCACATTTACATATTTTGTTATAGCGATCCATGCCACTTATTCTTTATTCAATGTAACATTTCCCTGGCCACGCAAAGTCGAAAAACACAGCTGGACCACGAATGTCAATGATGGATATTTATTTACTGTTTCTATTAGATGATTCAAAATTCGTGCAGCGTGTCAGACCTATAAAATAGACGCTTCCAGATATTTATGCCTGAATACTTGCAGTAGTTCCATCTGGCAATAAAATCTTAAGATGCTCTAAGTAGCACATGCCTGCAGTTCGCGATGCAACACCAACCCCAGGCCATGCTGTAAGCACCACTTTTGACGGCGAGCAAGCATCGCCCACCAGCAAAACTGAAAAATAGAATGAGCTTCGCAATGCTCGAACTCGGCTATAGAGCCCCCTTTATCTCGATGCCAATTATACCACTGTAAAAACAGCGGTGATGACTACTGTGCTACAGTAGTGAAATATGTTGATTGCTACTCGATTTTGCCTGGCATTTTATCCGAAAGGATGGTACTACTGTACATAGCATGCTGCGAAATTCAACATGACATAAATTTTTTCCAAAAAATCTCAGTCGACTACAAAAAATTTTCTTGCACGTTTCTAACTATACATTTTGCCACAAAAAAAAATAAAATTTGATAATAATCATAACTCAGTCTTCACAATGTGTCACCTTGTGATTTTTTGTGTGTCACCTGAGCATTTTTTCTCTTAATGTGTAAAGACGGTGATTATACCAGCCCTTTTTTTAGCACTGAACTCGAAAGTTGTGAGTAAAACCTGAACTTGTTAGATGCATTGTATGTGCTGCAAAAGAGTTTCTATACAACCGTTTGTAACAAATAAACTTTTATTGAGAAGCAAATTATGCACCGTATGTTAACGTTAGGAGGGACTGGGTTTGAGCGATCATCTACTAAACGAAGACGATATTCCTGTTGTGAGTACGCGCCATTTTTAATATTATGCATTTAGACGGAATATACAAATCATAAAGAAGATGATTAGAGACTAGCATGATCTCTTTTTTTATATAGGGAGCGCTTTACCCATAATTTATCACAAAAATTGTCCACCAATACCAATTTGATGAGCGTTCGGAGACAGATGCCCACTGACGTTCACTGAATATTTTTATTTCGAATTTTGTGCGGCTGTTCTCATAATAATATGCATGCAATCTCATAATAATATAAATAATGCTTTGCGCATGAATTTTCACGGACCTAACTTATCCGTTTCATGAGTCACGCGTGTGTATCATACTCGATAATTTTCGCACAAGACTCGTTATCGAGTGAATTGCCTCATTCACCAATCTCGCGCGATGAAAAGCAAATTGCCTTTGGAAGTTATTCTTTCCGGAACCTCTTTCGCTAACTGGTCGTAATGCTGGTCAATGAAAAAAAAAATAAAAAATATACATTTTTCGATAACCATGAATAATCCATTGTTGCATTTTTTATAAAGTGGTCTTGTTCTGACATTACGCGGGTAGGTAGAGTAGCTGGGCAAGAAAAGCCAGTACACAACCCCAGTTGAGTAGTGAATCAACCACCAGTACACAACCGTAAGATCTGTTGTGCAAACATATAGACAGTTCGATGCGTTTGAAGGCAAAATACGCCGGTAAACATTTTTATTTTTGATGTCATGCATGCTCATTTTTGTCTGTGCCGAATTTTTGTTCATCTCAAGTTCAAGGTATAAGCATTAAGCCAGCATCAATACAGGGTCCGGTAAGAATGATCGGTGCGGTGGTGATGATCAGTTCGTGATCAAATCATAATATTATTGTGATGGTGCAGTTATATCTAAGATCGAACAGTCAAAATTACTCGATAAAAACACCATTAACATGATGAAAATAGTGGACCATTTAACGAGTTATGTCTACGTGAGCATGGAAAGAAGCGAAATTATTGGTTTTCAACATATGGAATCCTGACATACCCATGGAATGATCTTGTGAACTGTGA